TTTATAAATTCTCTGTGTACCAGTTACGAACTGCTTCCTCTTTGGCTACTGCCACGGCCCTTTTTGTTTCTCTCTTCGCCATTTTGTACCCGTTTCTTTTCTCCAGGCTCCCCTTGTCTTCCTGCCACTCCTTGAAAGTTTTCTTCTTTTCCTTGATCTTCTCCAGCACCTCTTCTGTCCACTACCATGTTTCTCGTTCTCCTGCTCCTCTCCCACTTGTTCTTCCACACAGTTTTTCTGCCACTTCCACCGTTGCTTCCTTCAAGGCCTTCTACATTTCGGTTGCTGTCTCTCTCTTCGCTCTCTTCAGTCCCATCCATGACCATCAGTCTGTGCTGGTGAGCAACTGCTTCACCTGGAATCACTTTTGCATCTCTCACGTTTTTACGGGTTCTCTTCCTCACCACTAGGAAGTCTCTGAACTCTTCCTTCTCTTGATCTTCACAGCCAATCTGTGGAGCGTAACCACTCACGATGTTGATCAGACTCTTTCCTGCTGGCACCATCCACGTCGCCCTCATCCGATCCCTTAGGCTAATTCTCAGTACCAACCTCTCCATACCTCTCTGGTCACTTGTTAAGTTTCCTCTCCAGTAATTTGGTTGTAGTCCATGTTTCTGATCATAGGTCATAACTGAGAGTACGCATTGGTTAATATAATGGCAAGGAACCTCTTAATATGCTAGTGTCTGCGAAAGGCGCTCCAGCCTAGACTTATGCGTCGATTAATTTCCTCTTCGCTAGATGTGTTTGTCTGTATGAGTTTACATAGGTATATATACTTGCCTTTAACCCTAGCGCTTCGGCTTCTGCATGTATCTGTTCTAATTGAATTCTACTGTTGAGCCTGATCTTACCCTTTTCTTGTTTATCGTAGATCCGGCTTTCTCTATTCAGATCGCTTAATAGTTGCTGCATTTTATTTAGATTCACCGAAGAGAATAATATCATCTGCATATCTTCGATTGATTAGGTATTCATCTCCTATTTTGATACTCTTTCCGCTCCATTCTTGTTTCTTGAACTACCAAAGACTATAAATAGAAGAGAGATATACGGAAATTCAGTACTCAAATAATAGATGAGACAGCATGAAAACAACTAAAAGGAGACTCGGAATAGGGAGACATCAAATGTATGCAATAAAGAAACCAGACGGAAATGTGACACATAATAAGAGTAGTAGAAAACTTTTACAGGGATCTATACAACTCAAATGAACAGCCATGGCTAAAAGAAAACGCGGTAACTAGAGACATTCCTAACATTACAACAGAGGATATAAAAAGCGCTTAAAGGCATGAACACCACGTGAAGGTGGAATCAGTATAGACGTTATAATAGATGCAGGAGAAATTGCAGCAGTGCAATTCACCAATATTTTTAACAAATGCCTTCTCAACGAAAAAAAAAAAATCCAAAAGCCTGGAAAAATGCAACAGTTAATTTGATACATAAAAAAGGGATAGAAAATATCTAAAAACTATCGACCCATAAGCCTCCTTTCAGTTACAATTTTTCCCAAAAGTCATCACAACTCGTATCTCAGACAGTCTGAATTCTAACCAGCCTAGAGAACAGATAGGCTTCCGCAGTGGATTCTCAACAACAGATCCCGTCCACACGTTCACCCAAATAAAAGAAAAAAAATAAACGAATATAGGAAACCCCTGTGTATGGAATTCATCGATTCCGAAAAGGCATTTGACAATACCAGCAGTACTAGAAGTTAGTCGAAGACAAGGAATAGAGGAGGTGTATTGTAAAATATTGGAAGATGTATACGAAGATGTGACAGCAACTATCAAGCTCCACAAAGAAACCGATAAAATACCAATTAAAAAAAAATGTTAGGGCGATATCATCTCACCAAAACTGTTTACAGCTTGTCTTAAGGAAATATTCAAGAAGCTATATACATACACACACAAATATATATACATATAAACAAAATTGCCATATTGGTGGCTATAGTTTGTGTTATTTCATTTCATTTATATGCTTATTTTGTATGATTGGTTTATATCTCTCTCCCCCAGTGAGAGGGAGAGAGATAATATATATAAATATAAATAGAGAGAGAGTGAGAAATTACACACATATATATACATATATATGTGCATATACAAATGTATACACATATATACATATACATATATATCCATATATATATATATATATATATATATATATATATGTGTGTGTGTGTGTGTGTGTGTGTGTGTGTGTGTGTGTGTGTGTGTGTGTATATATGTGTGTGTGTGTGTGTATATATATATATATATATATATGCACACACACACACACACACACACACACACATATATATATATATATATATATATATATATATATATATATATATTTATACACACACACACACACACACACACACACACACACACACACACACACACACACACACACACACACACACACACACATATATATCGCCACGTTTAGCAAGAATACATGTCATGTCCAATGTAATACAAGTTTATTTATTGTATTTACACACAGATGGCTCTACAAGTGCTTAGTCACCAAGGAATCAATTATTAGTTCTACCTATCTCACCTGTTTAACCATTTCCTCGACTTTTGCATTAATTCATTGTCTAAAATGTTATCGGCTGAACATATGTGGAGCCATCTGTATGTAACAACATTCACAAAAAATACAGAAGACAGAACATAAATCCGGAGCGATTGGGTTAATATATATACATACAGTCTATGTCGGTGCGGCCTCGCCCTTTTTATTTGGAGTTGGTTTACTGAATGAATACATCTATGGAATTTGCTTCTTTCTTTATTCTCCGTAACTGATGGATACAATTTCTACATTTTCCATATCCGTAATCATACGTAAAACTGAAAACAAAATGAGGAACATAACAACTGCGGCCACGTGGTCTTATATACTATTAAATTTGCTATAATTCACACAATTAACTCAATTAAAGCACATTATTGAATGCTAACAAACTTATAAAACATAAAACCATAATAATAGGATGACTAAACTAGTACAAAGAATGTAATTTACCTCCAAACCCCTACAATAGGGCCTGGTCCTGTTTAGGCGACCACAGCTGCCGTTGAAGTAAACAACCAAGTTCCAATACCCGTCTATGTATTCGACTTTGGCACATAGTCTTTTAAAACATTTTCATTCATCTTTACTTTTTAACTGGGCTGCTACACTTACATGGCTCCCCTAAATTGTTTACAATTTACAATTAACATTATACTACCTTAAAACTATAATCTTTATAAAACTTTCTTTTCTGAAAGTAAATACAAAAATAAAACATTTATCTTCTGAGGTATCACAAAATAAAGCTCTTTGGCGGGGACTTCCCTGGATATAAAGTACATTGAGTTAACTCGAATAAAACTTCTATTCCTTATTTTCTAATAACATAATTAGATTATGAATAGGTCTCTCAACATAAGTAATTTACCATCCAGTAACCTGCTCTTATTTCATGTTATGCCACGACCTTAATGGTGATAGTGAAAAATCAGCAATTCTGATATTTGGCATTTACCTGGCAAAATTACAGGATGTCTAGCTGCTTCATTCAAGTCTTCCTCGTACTTTCATGATTCCATCAATATCCATAAATGGATCTAATTTGTACAGACTGCTTCTTTTATTTAGGAACTTCTTTGTTTGAACTCTTTTTTCATCTGCATAGTATTTACTCTGAAGTTCCTTTATTATTACTTTATCTGCCTTTTCAAGCTCTGAAACTGTCACAGGACTATATGTTACATTTCTTTTATCAATTTTCTCCTCAGATGTTTCTGTGGTTTTCTTATACTTACTTTGTAGTCTTAAACACAATGTTGTTGTTCTTTTAGCTCTAAACCAATCTGAGAAATAGTCTAATACATCAAGAAATGGTGCTTCTTTCTTTGAAGTTACTACAAATGACACTTTCTTGACTTCTGGATCATACTCAAAAATGGATCTTTGTTCACAGGAACTTCCACAATAATCAAGTTTCTTCCAAAGAAACTTTGGACCATTCCACCACATCAAATTATTCATTAATTAAGTCATTAAGTCCACGTGCAGCACAATCTGCTGGATTTGACTCTGATTGTATATAATTCCATTGAATAGGATCAGTCCTATCTCTAATATACTGAACTCTATTTGTAACAAAAACATGAAACCTTTTGGTATCATTTGAAATGTATCCTAAGATTACTTTACTGTCTGTCCAAAATATTTCCTTTATATTTTGATAATCAAGGTCCTTTCTTAACATGACACTTACTTTAGTTGACACTACTGCTGCTGTCAGTTCCAATCTTGGAATAGTAACAGCTCTCAATGGAGTAACTCTTGACTTAAACATAACTAAAGAACAATGAATTTCATCATTAACATTAACAAATCTAATATATGAACACTGTTCATAGCCATCTTGGCATGCATCTGAAAAATGGTGTACAGTCAATTTGACCGTATGTCGAAAGTCGGGTCTTCATTGCCTTTTTCCCCATTGTTTTGTTTACATTAAGAATACCTGTACATAAATTCCAATAAGTACGACATACCTTATACAGTACCTGTAATATGTAATGCTTTTAATATTATTTGATGGTGATTCATACAACTATAATGTAGAAACATAATTTATTCAAAAAAAAAAAAAAATAGAGTAGTGGTAACTGGCAAATAAAAAACTCTAAGCTCTGGCAATGACAGCGCGCCGACTTTGAGGGCGTGAGTCTGTACATCAGGCCGAATCCCTGCGTTTTGGCGCGCCGCCGCGGCGTACAGCCGCAGCCGCACGGCACTTTTCGTGCGGTTTCTTTTCACGCCTAGCGCGTCACCCGTCGTGAAAGAGTTAATATTATTTGGTGATTTATACAACTTTAAATGTAGAAACATAATTTATTCAAAAAGAAAATATATTGTAATGGTGACTGGCTAGCGAACCGATTGATAAGATCCATAAAGTTATAGCCTGACATTTCTTG